TACAGAGAGGATGAATCAGGAAGTGTTGGCATACCTTAGATCTTTTATATCCTACGCTCAGTACGAATGGCCTGATATGCTTCCGTCAGCTATGCTAGCTCTTAATAATAGAGACACAGTCATCGGTCTTAGTCCTTTTTTCCTCACACACGGTTATCACGCAGAACCTATCGAACAAATCCCGCCCCCTTCCAAAAATTCCGATGCACCTGAAAAGAAAGCCAGGGAATTTGTACAGCGAATAACAGATGGACAGGAATATGCACAAGCTGCCATGGCATTTGTCCAACAACGAATGGAATCAGCATCTAATCAAAAGAGGCTTCCGCAAGAGAGGTTTGAAGAGGGAGACCTTGTTTGGTTAAAACTAAAAAATATTGAGACGCCACAACTTAGTAAAAAGCTGTCATGGGTTAACGCCAAATATCGCGTCCTCAAAGTTATATCCCCTCATGTCGTCGAACTTGATGTCCCATCGGGTATACATCCGAGATTTCACGTCGATTTGTTAAAACGAGATCCACAAAACCCCCTTCCGTCTCAAATTATGTTAGACGAGCAACCACCGCCGCTTGTGAATCCTGATGGTGACAATGAGCAATTCGTTGAAAAGATTCTCAGAGCCGAAAAGAGAAAGAAAGGTCGGGGCTTCCGAAGGGAGGTGTTGGTAAAGTGGAGAGGTTTTCAAGAGCCAAACTGGGAATTGCGCCAAGGTCTCGAAGACACGGAGGCTCTTGATATCTTTGAAGAAAGGTACGGTGTTGGTGATGACGTGGGAGAAGATGTCGGGGCAAGAATAGGTGTTACTGGCAAAAGGCAAAAAATTTTTACACCTGAAAAAAAGAAACGAGTAAAAAAAAAGAAAAAAAAAAAGTACTGTGAGGAGGGGATAATGTTACAGGCTGCGCCTATCTCCTAGTGACTGTCGCACGGACACTTATCATTATTACGTCATTAGCCTTGCTATCTAGAGAGATGTCCAACTTGGCCATACAAATACAGGGTTGCAACAAATATGGAAACAAGATATTGTTGCAGCAAGTCTCATATGGAATCATGGGCCGATACGACCCAGATTCGCTATGACGAGCCCACTCGGAATATCAAGGATATGATGTAGTAGAATAGATAGTGAGGTTAGCGCATTGGGAGTTGGGACACCTTAAGTAGCATCCCCTCGGTGGACAGTTCCGAGATGTATGTAGAAAATAGACAGTAATCGGCCACTATTCCTTTACTATATTGTTTTGTTGATCGCCCATCACAGGTATCCACCTAAGCTCATACAACGGTCAAACCTTGACAATCAGGAATACGGCTTTTGATGAGTCGCTCATAAAAAGTAGATAACTCATGTCTCGGTTTCATTGCAAGTACCTTACTTATTTATGGGGGCTCATATTTCCCTATGCCAGTTTTCTTCCGTTAATATCCGTTAATATCCACTGAGGAAAACTTGGCAAAAAAATTGAGTTATACAGACAAGCCTACATCATTTATTGACATTTCCACACGCTACATCCAGTCAGAAGCCCCTCCTCCCCGACCTGACTTCAAGCTGAGGTAACTCTAAATATGCCAGAGTACACCATCCTCGAGTGGAGCACGGCGCCTTCAATCGGTGGCTTTATTTTAGTATGTGCCAATTCCTAGAAAGGGATATCTTTGCAGAAACAAAGCTCACTCCTAAAACCCCCTGCCAAAAAATTTGACATTTCACGCACATCGAGATTGTATCCTTCCATTGCATCTTCTTGTAAACTTGTGTAGATCTCCATCACTTTCATCCCATAGAAATGCTTCCCAGATTGTATGCCACGCTTTGCTTCCTCCGTCGGGTGTAAATATCGGCGTGGGCGAGTATTTGGTGACCAGCCGAGGCCAGAGAAAGTCTACGAGAGGTATTGTCATTGAGATGAGAATGTACTTGTAGACTTGATGAGACTTGGGTAGGAGTCAAACTCGTTGGGAGCGAAAAAACGACGTGGTGGAGTAATGGGAATCATTGCCTCGTGGGCCAACTTCTTCGACATTGCGAAATTTGACCGAACTTGGCTCTGGGAGAATGTTTCACACTCAGGTTCGTAGTGGACACCGCGTACAGGTGTTCAGTCTTGCCCTCCGGATGTATGGTTGTGATTATTGTTCACTTGGTAGTGAAAAGGGTGATGCGTTTGAGGGCCGTACATACCCTCTATTAGTAGTTCCATATTCGCGTGTAGATTGGCATAACAGTGCTACGTTGATACAAGCTGGGCAGCAGCATTCTTAGGGAATGCTGAGACTGTACCTATGATGCACGTTTGTTTAAACCTACGCATTATCGAATCTACGTCCAGCCACACTGTTCTATGCACCTAAAGGAATCATTGTCTGATACTTCAAATAAAATCTGACAATCTCCAATATTTTTGATTTCATTTCATTAAGCCCATTCAGCTACCCTAAGGGCCCATGCCGGAATATCTAGCTAAAATATCTACACAGGAGGAAACCAATTCGGTAAAAGCCCCCCAAAACTATCTATCTCATATCTATGGGTTTGTCTGAGGTTTCCTACAGGAAGTGCATTTACACTGTTTATACAGTGTGAAATCCAACTTATCCTTGTCCACATCGTCTCATCTTTTCGTCCAATGCAATTTCTACTTCTCCTGCAAGCCTGAATTGTTCAAACCAGCCTTTTGCCAGGATCCATTTTGTAATTCTCTCTATGTCATCTGGGATGTTCATCAATGCCGCAAATGACCTATCTTTTGCCTTTCGAAGCACCTCTCCTCCTCCCATTGCCCACTGAGGACACGCCAAGACCATATGTTTGACATTTTGAGACGGATATCCACACTGACATTTTGGATTAATCACTCCGAGGACTTTCCTTCGATACAGATAAGAATTGAGACCATTGTGCTCACTTCTTATCTGAACTGCAATACTGCTTTGGGCCCTACTAAGGTTCCGGTGGATATGTGAGGGTGTGTTTCTATATATAATCCTTTTTCTGCCTGTTGTCTCATCTGTAACAATATTTGCGGCTCTCCTCATGAATTATTATTCACGTTGGAGTCCGGGCGCAAGATAAGGAATACTGTAGTTAAATAGACGATACCCTGTATTAATAGAAAATCAAGTTACATTCAGTCTTAGGCCCTAATATACATATTTGTAGTTTGGAGCCACGAGACACCCGCAACCCACACCATCACAAAACCAAGCTTATCTCACCTTTACACATATTAATCCATCAGGAACTTCAAAAGTGCCAAATTTTCATACAACCCTCAACAGTGTTGTCGCAATTGCATCAGTGTGACAAGGCATCTGTGCATTCCATAGCACACACTCTGGTCGTGATAAGATACACCGCCAGGTCTAGCAACTAAAATCCATATGCGACGGAGATGGTGAGTCTGGCTTGATAACATAACCTTATCCCGGCTCTCGGATCTGGGGCCAAAGCCTGATACAAAATTGCGTTTCAGTGACGTTATTGGAGATGTGTGTATTTGGGATGATTGTTCCAAATTGACCAAACACCCGCAGGCCATGTAGATTTATTTACTTATTTATAATATTTAACGTCGTGCCCGCGCACAGCACGTGAACTACTCGCGTGCCGGTTAGGCCAGTCTAAATGAAAGTAGCCGACGTGTTGGCGTCTACACCGACCTAACAAAGCAAATGATAGGGGGGATCTTATCATCCTGCGCTCGAAGATTACAGTATACATGGAGGTCGTCCGTACAACGAATCGCACGCTATGCATGTGGTACTAAATGAAGAAAAAAATGTATAACAAGAATGAAAGGAAAAATTTGTCTACTTCAAATCGTGATTTTGTTCGAATCAGACTTGTTGTTGTGCCCTTTCGAAGAAATTTGTGACACGCACCCAGATATTGAATGCATTAACTCCCTCCGCCGAAGCAAGAGCCCAAGATATGCTGGGATTAGAATTCTGTGCAGGCTGTGATTATTGTAGCGGCTTGTGAGCCGGTAATTATCCAGTGTCACATGATTGTGATCACGTGCCATGAAAATATTCGAAACTCATTAAGGAGTTAACAACCCCTCAGCGGCGTGACCTAATCACGGCCCAAAGCAGTGTCGCCATTCAGCTAAGGAGCGAGCATATCGGACTCAATTCTTACCTGAGCAGAAGAAAAGTACCCGGAGTAAATAAGCCAAGCTGTCAATGTGAATATCCGTCGCAAAACGTCAAGCATATGGTGTTGGCGTGTCCGCAGTGGGCAAATGGAAGAGGCGACTTTCTCCGACAAGCTAAAGACAGGCCATTTGATGCAATTATGAACAGCCCACAAGACATAGCTAGAATTACACAGTGGATACTAAACAAAAAATGGATAAAACAGTTTCGACTTGCAGGGGAAGTCGAGGTAGCAATGTCGGATAAAGTAAATAGATCTGGTAGGGGAGAGGACGGAATCCACACGGGCTGAACAGTGTACACTGCACTTCCTGAAGGTAAACCAAATGAATTGATAGGAACATAAAAAGACAGGATCAGGCGGTTTTCACCGAATTGGTTTCCTCCTTTGTAAATAATGCAGATAGTCACCTGCATGGACCCATAAGGTGCCTTATTGGGTTAATTGAAATCAAAATCAGATTCAAACCCCTCAGTGGTCCACTTTGATCGAACCCTCTCATTTCAATGGCATGTCCGTATACTTGCTGAGAAGGCTTTTAAATTTGCCAATGCACTCCGTTCTCCCAGCAACACCGTCCGAGGAGCACCCCCCCAACTTATCCGACAAGCCATCTTAGCTTGCACACATCCCATAGCCTACTATGGCGCAGAGACTTGGTGGCCTGGCCGCACCAGATACAGCAATAGACTCATCTCGAATCGAGCCGAAGCACACCTTTCCACCCTCCGCAAAGTTATTCTAACGGGGGCCAGAGCTATCCTACCTGTATATCGGACTACGCCAATCCCTATTCTGTACCGCGAATAAAGTCTCTTCCCTCCTGATTTAGAGCTGGGTTCTCCAAATTCTGAACACTGAAATCATCGGCCCTCTGATTCACCCGCCATGGCTCAAAAGTGAGACACGGTATAATAGTGTAAGGCGAGTTACGCACCCTCCCATTAATCTCCCTTCTGGCATCCCTTTCAGAGATCTAGCAGTCTATACAGATGGCGCTCGATCTGAGATAGTAGAATGGTCCAGGACAGACGGTGGAATAATTGTCTTTCAAGCTGGCCAGATGGTTTACCGCGAGAGTCTGTCCCTTGACTCGACGCTGTCTCCTTTCGACACAGAAGTGAACGCCGTGAAAGAAGCCCTCAAAGCTGCGCTTTCCCTACCAACAGCACATTTCTCGGAAAATATTTGGATACTCACAGATAACCTGGAGGTAGCTCGCCTTTTATTTCGGTCCCCAATTTGCTCCTCACAAGTTGTTTTTCAACAAATACAGGCCCTCTCCCAAGACTGGCCTCTCCGCACCCGGCTCCCACACATCCCTCCCGAGAAAGTCAAGGCTTATTGGATTCCAAGCCACTCTGATATATTGGGTAACGTTTTCGCCGACGCCTCTGCCCGGGAGGGGCTTTCAGAACCCCCGCCTATACCTCGTGGGTACGTTTCTTTTGATACCGCGCAAAATTGCATCAATGTAGAAATTTCGACGGTTATGAAAGACTACTGGGACCGACATGCCCCAGTTTCCTACATGGAGCTTGCCATCGACTCATACTCTCGTCATCCTAAGGAACTCTCACTAGCTAGACCGTTTCTCTCTAGACTATACGCTGCCCGCTCAGGACGTGGTGACTTTGCAGAATACCACCGCCGTTTCAATCACGAGGGCGCTAACCTTCATTGTGACTGCGGACAGCTCAAAGCCCCATTGCACTTCCTAGAGTGCCACCTAATCACACACAGACCTCCTCGAGCTCCATTATCTTCAAGGGACCCAAAGAAATTTTTGCCAGGAACCTGGGAAGGGGTCCTACATGTAGCAAAGTGGATTTCTCTTTCTGAGTTTTACCTAAAGACCTGCCCTAGAATTCCCAGAGAAGGAATAAATAGGTCTTAAACTCTGCCTCGACTTTGAGCCTTGCATTATGGATGGATGGTGCGGTATTTCTGAATGGATCTATTAGTAGCATCCCGAGAGTAGCGGTAATACATCAAAGGAGTAATGAGCCTTGAGGACTGGCTGTAAAAGTGCAGGTGCTACGCTACACGCAATCATGTAATTAGAGAATTGCCCTGCAAACCTAGTTAGGAAGTAGCAAGGGCGAAGCCACCAGGGCAGTAAGCACTGGCGTCGATGCCTCTAGGTAGTTTAGTGGGTAGTAGGGACCTAAGTCGAGCTTGGCGCCCCGTTGGACGAAAAAAAAAAACATAAATCAATCGGGACGTCGCTAGGAATTTCTAGTAACCAGTAGTAAGACTGCGAGTTAGTCTCAGAGGAAAATACTAGAAACTGGTTACAGGCGGGAAGAATAATCTAAATAGAATAGCAATTTTATCAATAGTTGAAGCGGGACGTGCATAGATTTGCTACAGAGAAAATAATAAACTACCTTCGTATATCTGATCGCTCCAGCATGGAGATTCGAAACGTGAAAATTATGAACGCATGGAAAGTTAAGCGAATCTTCATTGCCAGGAGACAGTTGGATTCGATCTTTTTTTTTTTTTTTTTTTAAATCATTTAATGTGTATTCAGCTATCTAGCTATGACACATGACCGGAGCTATGTATACATGTGGGATGACTCTTTTGACGTTAGAGACACTCATACTCTGGATTTCATTTGCAAATACCACTATGAGGTATGTTTGCTTACACAAACAGTCGACCCTCCTCCGTTAGTACCCACCAAAGGGAATTTAAAAACCTTTGATTATCCAAGCATGCCTTCGTCATCCATGCACACCAGCGCCGCGAGAAATGTGGTTGTGTTTTGCCGGATTTGAACCAGCGATCTACTGTCTCAAGTGGGATATGTGTCCAAGCTATCCAGACTCTACTTGGCAGACCGGCCAAGACGATGTACCACCGCACCATCCAACCATGGCGGTGTTTATAGTGTCGCCTGCACTCTTGGATTCGATCATTCAAACGACTCGAACTCGACAGAGTCAGTTATCTGATGACCTCTACAATTAATGTCTGTGCTGATAGCTTACGTATGCAGCTTCCTCGTCTATAGAATCATCCAAACGTAGAGACCCTTGAAGTCTACAATAAGAGCATTGTGGCCAATACGCGTCGGTTTTTATCTCAAAAACATTTGACTTTCCTCTGGAAAATTAATACACCGCGTGCCAAGAACTGTAGTATCTTCTCGACTAGTTCTGAACTGCTGTCGGCGCACGCAATATCTTTTTCCTTTCTCCGTGTCTAAAATTACGATTTCACGGGAGAACGGACAACGGATAGACGGGAAATGTGTGTTAAAGGCTCCCTTGTATTGTATCATTGGTAATCTCCACTCATTAGCTCCGTCAACCACATCCTCTGGTGGTGAGCTTAGTTTGAAAAAGAAAATTTGACACTGGTTGATCGGATGAAGAAGATCTCTTAGCCATTAGAGATGAGGATGAAAATTGTTGTTGGTCCGCCTCACTTGTCGTACGTGATGACTAAGGGATATCTTGGATGCTTTGATACAAGACTAAGTTCTCCCCCATCAATCGAATCAGACATGAAGATCGAGGCAGGCAAGTAGGTTGTGGGTTGTGGGGATGCAAATAAGTGCCGATATTTTGATACGTCTGAATTTGGAAATTTGATTACAATATCCCCACCAGCTCTATTGACAAATGGTAATGGCTTATATGTCGATGATAATTTCATGGAGCGTATACGCTAGATCAAATTATCGCCGAAAATTGGTGAGTACCTTGCGTTTATAAAAGTATGCTGAACTATTATTCCCTAAGAATAGAATAGAATTGAATTTAAGTCCCTACTGAGTCTATCACTATGAAGGACTTCTTCCCTTAGAGCAGCGACTTGAATTATGGTATGGCAGGGCGCGTCTAGCCACTATCAGCAGTCAAATAGGAGATTGTCCAAGTAATACGATGATATGTAGATCATAAATCCCAAATTCGAGTGTTCATCGCATCCCGCATCCTTCTCTCTAAATTACCTCAATAAAGAAGCCTAGAAAGTAGGAACCCACCATCATCTGCCATCCCTGTCACTGCCACCTATGGAATTAAACCAGACTGACTCGCAAAACGATAATGAAATGAGGCTCGAAGAAGGACTACGCCAAAAATTGAGGTGGTTCGGAGCCTCTCATGGAAAAAAATTAACCACCATTCTTCTTTAAAATTCATAGACTCAGTTGCCTAAAATCGGGAAGTAATTTTTGATTTATCTTTGAGAAACACTGAGCATTGTATCGGCAAAAATTTTTGAAAGCATTGTATCTGGCCGTAACCACTCGATCCGTCAAGATAGACACTTTAAGCTGCAGGTATAAGGAAATATAAAACAGGTCAACCATGATATCCTGCGCCTTTGCATTTCTCCTCCTGATGAAGTGAAACGAAATTTATAGCAAGGAGTCCCTAGCATCAGAACGACCTTCGAAACAAGTGCCAAACTTGAGGCGTTTGGTTCTTCTAGCCGAGGAAACTAAGCAATCGTTCTATGGCGATTTTGAAACTCAGGACTACAATGACTTTCCTAAAATAATTGGAGAGTACGATATATTCAAGACAAAGGAGCAAGTGAGCCGTGAAAACACGAGATTTCAGGCTTATTGCTCTCCCACCTTGTCTTCCATGCAAATAGCAGCAATAATCCAGGAACAGCTAGGCCCCAGAGTCAAATTTCAATATCCAAAGTTAAATAATCGTGCTCTGTCATCAGAAAATTGCTTGTCACATATTTATACCGAATTGGAAGGTGTTCAAAAGGGAGCTTCGTCACAGACACAGGTAATCACTCAAAGTTCTATCTGTTCAAATAGCGATATTATCGGCTTGGCTTTTCAGGGCGATATATCAGTATCCGGAGTCTACTACCCTTATGCTCCATCTAATGGGCAGAATGTCCCTCAAGTAGCTTTCAGTGGTCCGTTAGATCTGCAAAATTTAGTCCAGGAAGGCCAAATCTACGCGGCATGGGAGAAATATAATTCACAGATGGTGCTTGTCTGGTATTTTGGTCAGCTCCATCTTTTCAGGAGAGATGGTATAAATAAATTGTGGTGGCCTGTGACAGAGATAGGCTCAACAGAACATAATGGTGCTATTATCATAAACTTTTTGCGACATAATTTAGGATTATTCAAACAGTTGGATCTGAAAATCGAAAGTTCTCGTCCACAACGAAGTCTATTTGACTATTTTTGGCGGCCATCACCCAGCGTCCAGCCTAATAAGGATATAAGCACGAATAAATTAATGGCCGAAGTTATTTCCACGGAATTTAAGATACCGCGAAAAGTCTCGCTTAGTTATTTAAGTTCTGATCGTGGGAAATGTTTCGACTCAAAGAGTATAAAGCTGGCTAGCTTTTAATATTTGTAAAAATAATAATCATTATTTCTTGGATGTGCTGCATGCATATAATTATAGTCAATTTACGATGCTCGATTTTGCCTGATGCTGCCGAGTAATTCCAAAGCGAAAGATTTCGGTATGTGGTCTTTGGCTCAACAAGTACTTGAGTCTGACGGCAAGCAGCAGAAATAGACGCTTGGCACTGGGATAAATCAGTTTGAGGGTTGTAAAGGAAAGTAAACTCAATCCACTTGAAGTATAGTTATCATGAAACATGGAATTAAATTCTTCGCATACTTATTGCTATATTGAGTGAGTCTGTTTTTTATTGTACTACTTGAGTTGTAGACTATCCGAGCACATCGAGCCGCTCTCTGGCCAGGGCCACATCTTATACAGTGCTCCTTGCCTCTCATGTCTCTTGAAAGATCATTGATATATTGCCCGTGATGAATAGCCATTCAGCTCAGTGTTTACCCGTGGAATTCGGCCACCTTTTCCACGGAACCTTCTGCCCAAAAAAAATAAAAATAAAATGGTAGCAATGGAAACTGCGTGCGCGGGAAAAAGTCTCAAAAAACCTGCAGCCCCAGCCAGGCGTGGCCTAGACACCGGGACCACACGAGGTGCGCATATTCATCTATATCTCCCTTCTTTGTAACAGTCGAGGCCGACTTTATCCAATCTGCCATCTCCGTATCGGATGCTGCGTACGCTCCGGAAACTTATCGGATGGTTTTTCCTCCATGATCAACGCAGATGAAGAGCAGGGCTCCGACCCTACCATCTGATCTGACCGTGGTTATATTTATGATAATGGTAATAGGGGGAAAGTGTTGAGAGATGAAGACGATACAGATCGCGAAAACGATTGGGAGTCCTCATCGGAGTGAAGACTTTGTTACTCAATCTCGGCTCAGCAGACTCTACAGTGAGAGCTGGAGGTTCGTAGGGGCGTCACGGTTTCATTACAAAATGCATGAGCGATGTTGTAGGTACAATATTTTAATTATAATTCTCTGAAGAGAGAATTTCTGTACTTAAAGACTACCTATATATACAGACTGAAATACCCCTCCTTGATAAGGTTCTCTCTATGACTTGTCAACTCAGACTCTCCTACAATCGCCTGTAGATCCTTGATACTTCTGTAACCCTCATGAACTCTCAGTAGGTTTCAACAAGGCTCAATGTGAATCATCTAGGTTCCCTGTCATCCAAGATCTTCCCAGGAACCTCCCTTCGTATAATTGCCTGCGCTAGACAGCGTAAGCTACAAGAACCCTTAGGCTTGATAGCCGTCACAAGGGGACACCACTGACAGGTGTTTTGAATAGTCCTCCTGGCGCAATCAAGTCCATGGCAGCACACAAAGGAAGTTAGAATAAGACAACTCAATAGGAAGTTAACAAGAAATTTTGAAGATTAGGTTCAGAATAGAGTTCCGGGGATAAAACAGAGGTATGTCTGCTTACACAAACAGTCGATTCTCCTCCGTTAGCACCCACCTAAAGGAAATTCAAAAACTTTAATTATATAAGTATGCCTTCGTCATCCATGTATGCCAGCACCACGAGAAATGTAGTGTGTTTTGCCGGATTCGTAGCAACGATCTACTGTCTCGATTGGGATGTATGTCCAAGCTAACCAGACCAGACTTTGAGGACCGGGCTGGATAATGTACCACCGCACCATTCAGCCATAGCGGTATGGATAATGTCATTTGCAGTTTCGCAACCTAAGTCTTGGCACGCACAAAACTCAATTCGTGAAACTCATAGCCAAATTTCAAAAATCCGCGCTCATCGAGATTGTATCCATCCTCTGCATAATCTTATAAAATTGCCTGCTCCTTTTCAATTTCATCCCAAAGAAGTGCCTCCTATATTCGTGTGCGACGCCAAGTTTCCTCTGTCAGGTGAAAATATCGGCGTGGACGTGTATTTGGTGGTCAGTTGAGGCCAGAGAAAGCCGACGAGAGGTGTGGTCATTGACTGGAGGATGTATTGAGTCGTTGCTTTAAACTTTGTGAGGCGTTGATAGGGATCGGCCTCGTTGGGAGTGAAAATTTGACTGAGATTGGCTCTGTCAGAATATTGTACTACCAGGTTTGGAGGGGTCGACGCGTACGGGTGTTGAGTCATTGCCCTCCGTGCACGGGCTTCACAGGAGCGTGATGGTTCATCATATTGTATTCCGCTATTCAGCTAAGGCAATTCATAAAACATTTATCTACGTATCCCACATTTTCTGTTTTAGCTCTTTAATCCTTTCCTATCTATATTAACACTCTGCGCGATCAGTGTTATTTAACGACTAACAGTATCAGCAAATAAATGCTGTTTATTACAAGGACCAGTGGCAACAAGAATGAGGTCACAAAGTGCTTTTTTAAAAAAAAATTTATATCATGTTGTATTCAGCTATATAGCTATGAAAATTTATCCAAATTTTAAACTCTCCCAACTGAACAATCTAAGACTTGCTACTCCATGTATCCGCCCGTTGTTTTTTGTTCTATTTATAGAGATCACGAAGTACTATGCACATCAGAATAGTTATCTAGGGCTTGTCCCCCTCCTGCCAGCAGATCATAACATAAAGTTAAATAATTAAACTTCAAGAATGTAGCTAGTATCTTGTATATAGATTCTAGGAGTCCTCTGCAGTCGTTGACTCAGGTAGGACTTTAAAATAAATCTAATCTAATCGGAATGGTTATGATTAAGATTTTTCATTCGAATACGCAATTATTTGCTTATGGATCAAGCTGTGCGTCTCACGACTCTCAGAAGGAGGACTCGACCTTCCAGATCAACTAGCATTAAATTGCCATATTCCCATTGAAAATTTCACCAAAAATCAAAGGAACAGTTTAATTGGATCCTTGAGTAGTCTTCCACAGTCTTGAACGCAGTAGAGACTCCATTTTAAAATTATCCATCAATCGACTCCCGGCAGGCCCACAAAATGCCAGTATTTGCAATACAGCTCGGAGATAATCCATATTCCTCAATCCAACACAACCCGCTTTTCTTCAATTTCTATTTCAGTTATTCAGCCGAGTCTTATCAGAAGGAATACGCTTTCCACAGTCATACCTGCCACCGTTCCTCACTACTCACGAGCTAGCTGACTCGTATTGCCTTGATGAAATGAGTTTCTCAAAAGAAACCTACACAAATGCAAATAATGTGTTAGTCGAACAATCAAAAGGCACTGAAAAGTCTTTCTCCTCGAGTCACAACTACCGTCACAAAATAAAGCGGCGCCAATCGTTCCCATCATTTCCAGGGAAAGGACAAATACCTGTCATCAGAACTCTTTAACGAAAAGCATCGTCTTTGGTCGTAACCACTTGATCCTTCACAATACGCATGTCAACTAGTAGGTGTAACAAAACCTAACGCTCATCAGCCATGATATCCTGCGCCTATGTATTTCTTTTCTTGAATCAAAAAGTTCATGACTCTCCGACGAGATCTCATCAGTCATATTATAGATCCGCGCGATATGATCAATCTCCAAGTTACCACTCAGAAGATGAAGAAATTAATACCCCCAAGCTTAAAGTGCTTGAACCTCAGAGATTAGTTATTCTTGTGGATGAGCCTAGAAACTCCTTTTACGGTGCCTACCAAATCCCATCGTCGCGATATTTCCCGAAACTTAACGCAAATCTTGACATTGTTTCAACCTCAGAGAACAAATATGGCTCCGGCACCAAAGTAATGGCTTACTGCTCACCTACCTTATCGACTACGAAAATAATTAAAGAGCTCGTGCATGGTCAAACTCCGGTAACCAAAACACAAGTGATAGATCCTGAGTCTGCTACGGTTTCAGAGCAGCAATGTTGGGCGCGCATTTTTAAACAGTGGGAGAAAATATCGAGATTCGAAGAACAAGGATCGAAAAATCTTGCACAAGATGATACATGTTCAAGCCGTGACATCATCAGCTTGGCTCATCAGGGCTTATTGTCAGTAACAGGGGTTTATAGCAAATTGGCTCCAGAGAATAAAGGTGATATTCCCATAGTAAATGTGAAGAACCAGCTTGCTCTGAAAGATATGGTCTCACGTCCTCAATTATATGCAGCAAAGAATGTAGGGAATATACAGAAGGTGCTCGTCTGGTATTTCGGCCACCTACACATTTTTGAACGACAGGTTGGGAAGCATTCCTGGTGGCCTACGACAAAACTCAATGCAGAAAACACCAATGCTGCGATTCTTCTAGACTTTATGCGCAGAGATTTGAGATTGTTTGGAGAACTGGATGTCCGGTTACAACAGTTTGCCTTAGTAGAAAAATTGGCTGGCAAGAAACAAGCGTATTCATCCCTCATCTCCCTCGAAGCCAAAAATATACCTGCCCAAGTTCTGGCAGAAATGAGTCGCGTACATATCTGGATATCAAATGAGCCAAGCCATAGTTACTTAGATTCTCATACTTGGCACAGATAAACGAGTTACAGTAGCTTTGACTACATTTCTATGTTTGTCGGAAGAATTCAACTTATTTCTTTATTGTATTAAATGTTGTATATTTATCTCGTCTTATAAGTCTTAATATGACCGGTTTGTGCGTCGGAGGTCTTAGACTTAATCTCTGATGAGAGACTTGAACATCGTGCAATGAATTAAAATTATATTTCACGTTTCTGCTACCATTCTGCCGGAAAACATCTATGCCCCAAAGCTAAACAAGATATAAATACTCTGTTGGAAAATATACTCTGTACGATATTATATGGATAAATATTATGAAGTAAAGAAGACTTGATATTTTACAACTATGGGAACATTGGACTTATATATACATCTAAGGGAGAAATTCCCGCTAGCCTCGTGTGCCTGTCAAACCTAGTGATGACTAGCCACCTCTCATCTACCATGATGAGCCAAGGTACACTGTAGTACGTAAATATCAAAACGCATATGTGACAGTAGGCGCGATTAGCGTACTCGGGACATGTGTAGAGAGAGTCGATCTTGTCGAGAACCTGAGACGAAACAGGTAATGATTGAGTCCTAAATTCGAGAGTCAGAATTTCCAACATACTCTCGATAAGTGATGTCTTGTTATGACTGGTAGTAAAAGCTACTGCACATAGTATTAGTTTCCAAATTTTCAGTTAATCTGATTCGACGTTATGGGGGTAGCTAGTGTCATATTTACATAATTACATGGGGGCGAAGCCTCTTGAATTAAGGCCCCGTCGCCCAACCAATTCATTTTCTACCGTTCTTTGAAAAACATTTAGGAACTGCAATTAACCACCGGTCAGAGAGACCACTAGCTCGACTTAAGCCTAGCGCTATTTGCCTGGCCTCGTGAGCCGCAGAGAGTCGCCTGTGGCTTGGAGCTATTTTCGCGGGCGTCCTGGCCCTCAGTTAACTCCATCAGCTCTTTCGTGAGGCAGCAGTGTAAAACCTGGGATTCGTGGTATTCTCTGAGAGTCGTGTGTTCATTGGATTACCCTTGTGTCTTTGGTGGGAATTTGACAGGCTCATGTGCAGTGGCGAGTCGCAATGATAGCGCGCTTACGATAGATTGATGGCACGATGGATACTGAGTGCGTACCACTATATTGGATAGGTATCAGTAGGTATTAAATATGAGCTAGTACTAATAACGATGATCTGTGACGGAGATACTTGATGCGCATTCCAAAAATTGATAATATCATCTAATGGATTTGATTTGATTTGAATTCATTTCGTATCAGGCTTAAGCCCTACACCCAATAGGCATGATACGGGTCTATGCTCCCTCGGGACACACTAAAACCTAAATACATAGTCTGCTTGTCTTTTTTTTTTTGCATCAGATTTTAGTTGCGTATGCAGCTATCTAGCTATGACACAATATCAAAGAAAAGTACAGAATAGATGATTCAACGTAAAGGAAGAGCACTTATACCTCAGATTTCATATGCAAGTACCACTGCGAAGTTATGGTGGCTTTTTCTTCACCCCGAGTCAACCCTCATCCGTGAATACCCACTCAGGAGAACGTCTAAAAAACCCTGAGTTATCCAGACATGCCTCCGTCATCCATCAACTTTTCTCCGCGCAAAATATGGTCTAAAGCGTCTCCTTCCCAAGTGGAGTAGGTGCCCAGGCCACTCAAACCATACCAGAGACCACCATCAGGAGGCGGACCACAACACCTTCTATCGTCGGCTTATGTTTATAGTGTCAACTGCACTCTCGCAACCGAAGACTTGGCACGCACAAAGCTCAATTCGTAAAACTCCTCGCCAAAATTCGTAATCTCACTCCTTTCGAGGTTATATCCTTCCTTCGCATCATCTTGTAAACTTGTCCTGATCCCTCTCACGTCCATCCCAAAGAACAGTCTCCCAGATTTGTGCGCCACGCTTGTGTCCTCCGTCGGGTATAGATATCGGCGTGGGCGTGTATTTGGTAGTTAACTGAGGTCAGAGAAGGTCAACGAGAGGTGTGGTCATTGGGATGAGGATGTACTTGGTCGTACTTGTAGACTTGATGAGTCTTAGGTAGGAGTTGAACTCGTTGGGTGCGAAAAAACGACGTGGTGGTATATTTTGAATCATTGCCTCTTGGGCCAACTTGTTCGGTATTGCAAAATTTGACTGAACTTGGCCCTGGGAGAATATTTCACTCCCAGGTTCGTAGGGGACACCGTGTATAGGTGTTCAGTCTTGCCCTCCAGGTCTCCGAATCGCCATGTATAAGAAATCTTTGTGACCTCTTTCATCAGCTAGCGGTGAAAGAAAAGTACGAAGAAATCCCCCATTTAACGGCGTATTTACTAATACTGTATGTTAAATATTGAGGTGTTAATTCTACAATTATAGATTTGGGTTAGGATACCCACGGATGTCTGGCGTTATGGGAGCACCGACGACGTCCTTTGTTGCTCGCTTAAGTCTCAATCCATAAAAAATCCGTAGCCAGCGCATTTCTATCAGCCTTATTGCCTTTGAAACCCTGAGTTCTTGTCAAAATCAGCGAGTCATAATACTGTGATTGCGCAGCTTGATAAAGTAATATATCATCACCGCACTCCTCAAACTCTTGCTCAAAACGAGTGCAGTCATTTTATGATTGAGATAAGAGCAAAATATTGCGACAGGTGATTATTTACCACATGTATTGGTGAATATAGGATAATTCGGATTAGTTTTTCATAATCAGGAGAGGTGGAATGATAGAATTTTAGTTCGAAAGTTTTGATCATTTTACTCTAAAGAGTTATAACTTTAACCCATCAATACTCTCGAATGGCAGCCAACATGACAACAATTGATGTCGGATTAGCCAGTCTATGTGACTTACATCTTCTGGATAATTTGACTTCTCAATACGAAGTGAATTGTAACCAACGCCATTTATATTTGTTGAAATGTTAAAGAACTATAACAAACGTCGCCATCTTATGCATTTCATTCCCAAGGTAAGGAGAATGTCCCGACCCATTCCTCAACTTCTAATCTGAGCTTCACAATCTCCGCATCGTTCTGGCCTTCACCGAGATATTCTAAAAACGCCTTGACACTATCAGTGTTTTTCTTACCATTGGCTGCCGCGGACTCTTTTGCTTTGACCTGTATTCGCTGAGTTATGGCTACTGCTCTATCTACAATGTCTGCCACTCGAACAAAGTCATTTTCTCGAAAACCTCTTGTGGTCATGGCAGGTGTTCCCATTCGAAGTCCACCAGGCCTCATAGCAGATTTATCACCGGGGACGGTATTTTTATTGCTTGCTACACCGACTAGCTCGAGTACTCGTTCAATTCTGGCTCCGTCAATACCATGTGGCTTCAGATCTACCAAAACGAGGTGATTATCGGTGCCTCCAGACACAATTCTATACCCATGTCCGCCATTTTCTTTGGGTTCACCAAGACGTTTAGCAAATGCTTTGGCATTGGCGAGAACTGCTTCTTGGTAAGCTCTAAACTCGGAACTTTGAGCCTGTTTGAGTGCAACTGCCAAAGCTGTGATAGTATGATTATGCGGTCCTCCTTGATGTCCTGGAAATACCGAGGCATTTATTGAATCTTCAAGGGCCCACATTTCTTGTTCCTTGGTTTTTGGATTGATTCTTCGGACACCCTTTCGAAAGAAAATCATGGCACCTCTCGGGCCACGGAGGGATTTGTGGGTAGTGGTAGTAACAACATCTGCAGTATCAAAAGGTGATGGTATTACCTTTGCTGCAACTAACCCAGAGATATGGGCCATGTCAGCTAAAAGATAGGCGCCTACTTTTTCAGAAATAGCCTTCATACGTTTGTAATCAATAAGTCTACTGTATGCAGATGTACCAGCAATAATTATTTTGGGTCGATATTGCAGCGCTAATCCCTCCAGTTTTTCATAATCTATAAGGCCTGTGGCTTCATCAAGTCGATAGGGAAGCGTCTCAAAGTACTTTGAGATCGCAGATATTTTCTTCGTTGGGGTTTGATAACCATGTGAAAGGTGTCCTCCATGAGGTAGATCAAGCCCCATTATCCGGTCATGCACATTAATGAGTGCAGAGAATGTGTAGAGATTTGCAGGAGATCCGGATAGTGCTAGGACTTATCAGTATGATTCTCACTTTCTTAAAATCAGGCTTTACGTTGAACATTCACGCCCCATTCTGATTCATTCAAGCCAAAAGCCTGCAGAGCACGTTTCTGGCAAAGTAGCTCTGCCTGGTCAATAAATTTATTTCCACCGTAGTAGCGAGCACCTGGGTAACCCTCCGAGTACTTATCTGCAAACAATTAAGTTTAATTTTGTATGATTAGGTATAACTGGGCACTAACTTTGCATTACACTCCCCAGCGCATCTAAAACAGCTTGCGAGGTGAAATTCTCGGAGGGAATAAGGTTGATGTAGTGTTTCTGCCTTCGTTTCTCCTATAAACTTAACGGTTGGCGTAAATTTACCTTTTCATGTCGAAGAACAAACATTTTGAAGAATCTCATAAATCGATGGATCAGCATCTTTCAAGTTGTCTGCGAGTAACTATGTGAACATAATTTGTAAGCCTAGAATAATCAAGAGCCTGGGATTTAAACCTTTTGCTGTGAACTAGGGGCTATTGAAGAGGCCGCACGTTTGGGTCCAAGCGTTAAAATTGCTCGGCGTGCACAATTGATATTGAGGCAGTTGGTTATGGCTTTGGATAGAGACATTTCTACTGTGATTTTCCCATAGTTTGAGAATATTCAGGGCCTTTGTCCTTGACACACAGATTTGACGCACAGACCGCTGCTCCTACATGAACTTTGTGTCACACATGATCCTGGTCGAAATTGAGATCACTTTCGACAATAGGACTGTAGGAATGATTAATGGAGCTGCTTCGTCATTTCTACACAAGATTTGGCGTAATTTTATATCCTATTTGGAACTGGATTGTGTAGTAGAGAATAATGATACACGTGGTCTCTGATCTTTTTATGGTACAACTGATAATGAAAACAGCAGTGTTTTATATGTCATTACTTTTGGTACTACTTTCACTAGATTACGTCTCACACGTACTCTATTAGACTAGACAGTCTCTCTGATTTCCCCAGGCAGCAGATATAAACCCTTTGTAGAAGAAAGCTCAATTTGGGCTTGAATAGCACAAATCTAATCTCTGTTGAGGATAGTTATAACATTAATCAATGAGAATTCAGAGCCTTGATACCAGAGTGATAGTTTCTTAAAAGTATACTCTAACAGATTACCCACTCTAAGTAGGCCCTGCCCAGGACTCCAAATCGTGAAACATTGCTGACCATTCATTTACTTAGTCTCTGCTGGCTCCTCTTCGCCATACAATTGCCGTTGCTTAAGTAATGCTCTTTCTTGTTTCCTCTCCCGAGCAGCTTTGGTCTTTGCACGCTTGGCGTCCATTTCTTCTTTCAAGACTCTCTCTCGTGCTTTCTCTGCCTTGGCGCGATGGATCTGATTCAAAAATTAACTCATGCTTAGAGCGTGATTACTTATTGGTCAGATGTCTACTTACATGTTCGACTAATGCCCGCTTGTGCTTGAAAGTATTACCCTTGCTTAAGTGGTAAAGTTCGTGGTAAAGGTGCTTGTCAATCTTTCCACTGGCACGATATTTTACAAGAAGGCGGCGAAGGACGCGGAGACGGCGCATCCACACTACCTGACTAGCGTAATGATTAAATTTTGGTACCTCTTAGATCGTGAAGTGATAGATGGCATACCTAGGCATACGAGCATCAGCTGTACCCTTTCGCTTACCGAAACCTCTATGTCTTCCTAATTTGCGTGCAGCAGCAAGCTCTCTTGCCCGAGATCGGGAGTGCATTGTGACAGGTTTTTTGATGATGAGACCATCGGCAATTAATTTGCGGATAGTCTGTCGAGAGTTGGCATTTGAAATTTCGCTGATTTCATTCGGGTCCAGCCAAATCTTGCGCTCTCCGCAGCGAGCGACTGAAGCTGCCAGGCGCTTTTGAGTGGTGAGGTTGACCCTGTAAGAGATAAATAATTAGCAAGGCCCGTCGGAGACGTCAGATATATGCCAAAATCCATCTCACGGCGGAAGAAATTGGCTGATTACCAGAAAAATTTATCGTGACGTGCGTGGGAGCAGAGTTACCTACATGTTGATACCTGGGATTCTGGGCGAGGTGAGTGTCGATAATTGTTTAGCATGGCATTAGATTTCGAAATGGCTGGTGGGTAAATTCAAACTCGCTAAATTAACCGGGCCGTAAATTTTCCGGCCTAAGTTAGCAAAGCCCATGTTTAATTGGCTATGATACTATATATTGAAGGAACTAAGTTATGTTCCGATTGAAAGTTCATATTGAGTACAAGAACTGTGCAATTATGAAATAGGCCAAGACATGATATCCATCAACGGCACTTCTTGTTAACATCAAATTTTCATCATAGCATCTGTAAAACAAGGATAAACGCACACATTAGCCGTTGGGCGGAGTACGAGGACTTTCAATTTGCTACCGTTGCCCTATATGATCCTTTAAATAACATGTTCTCGCAAGACGGAGCTCGATGAAATTTTGCAATACTCAAAAAGTTTTCCACGAGGGTTTGAATTGAGATTCTCCGCCTGATCAAACTCTGGCCCCCAATGGATAGATTTCCACTAGAGCTCCATCAAGTCAACAAGTACGACCTAGTATATCCTTATTTCAGTGACCTACAACTCTCATCTACTTTTGAATGGACTCAACTCGTCACAAAATGCACGCCCAAGCTGATATTAATACACACCAGATGAAACAGATTGTGCCGCATAAAAATCGGAGGCAGTCCTTTTCAATATTTGGGAGAGAGATCCGTACAAGTGATCTAGACGATAGAAACAATAGATACTATGTCGAGAGGGTTGAGATTTTCAATTTTAGTAAGGAGATTTACAAATTGAAGATCATTGTGCGTTCCAAGACTTCTATTGCGAGAATACAGCTGACACAATAAACACAATCTAAAGATGAAAGTTGTAGTGTTATATTATCTAGGCCGGTCTCCTGAGTAGATTCTGGATGGTTTGGACTTGTATCTTACTTGAGACTAGATATCGCTGGTTCAAATCAAGTAAAATATAATCGCATTTCTTGCGATTCTAGTGTGCCTGGACAATCCAAGGTTCTAAAAATTTCCTCAATTGGGTACTCAAATAGGATGGTCAGCTGTATGTGTGAGTAATTCTATCGATGATGATATTTGCGGATTAAATACGTAATATTGGTGCCTCGGAAGTCCAAAGGGTGATACTACATATAAAAATAGCACTCGTTATGTGTCACAGTGAGACAGATAATTAAACATTGCAAAGTGTTAAGAATACAAAAAAGAAAAACCTTAACAAGGCCCAAAGTAGCATAGCCATGCAGATAAGAAGTGAGCACATTCGGTTCAACTCTTGTCTGTACAGAGAACATGTTTCTGGAGTAGACATTCCACAATACCAATGTGGATATCCGTCCCAGAATGTCAAGCATATGATCATGGCCTGTCCTGACTGGGCTATAGGGAGAGGGGAGATGCTGAGAAAGGCTGAGAATCGGTCATTCGAAGCGATGATGAATAACCAGAAAGATATGGCTAGAATAACAAAGTGGATACAAAAGGAAGGAAGGCTAGAGCGGTTTCGTCTGACGCATGAAGTCGGAGCTACGATGAGGGAGAGAGAAGATCGGAGAGGAAAGATGATCTCTTGCCAGTAGCAAGGAAGTGGACGGCATTTGTACTGGACATGACGGTGTTAGTGCACTTCTTGAAAGTAACACAATATCAAAGTGTAAACAAATTAAGAAGTTGAGGGGTTTTAACCACAAAGATTTCCTCCTGTGTAAACATTGGAGTTCGTACACACCTGCATGGGAGGACTATTCTCAACACCTGTCAGTGGTGTCCCCTACGAACCTCCAGCTCTCACTGTAGAGTCTGCCGAGCCGAGATTGAGTAACAAAGTCCTCACTTCGACGAGGATTCCCAATCGCTTTCGCGGTCTGTATGGTCTTCATCTCTTAACACATTCCCCTATCACCATTATCATGAAGCTAACCACGATCAGATCAGATGGTAGGGTCGGAGCCCTACTCATCACCCACCCTTGATCATGGAGGAAAAGCCATCCGATGAGTTTCCGGAGCGTACCCAGCACCAGATACGGAGATGGTGGATTGGATCAAGTCGATCTCAACTGTTACAAAGAAGGGAGATATAGATGAATATGCGCACCTCATGTGGTCCCGGTGTCTAGGCCTCGCCTGGCTGGGGCTGCAGGTTTTTTGAGACTCTTTCCCGCGCACGCAGTTTCCATTGCTACCATTTTATTTTTATTTTTTATTTTTTGGGTAGAAGGTTCCGTGAAAAAGGTGGCCGAATTCCACTGGTAAATGCTGAGCTGTTAGACTCTACGAGTCAATTGAAAAATATATGAAGTAAATGTAAAATGTGTGAATTAATTCCTGGTTGCCATTTCTCTTACTGATACTATCTAGATTATGTGCGTCTAGAAAATGGCAAATGCTCTGTGTCCCCAACTTGTCTCCATTGACCAAGTTTCTCATGGTTTGGAACGAAACATCTCTAGTCAGAACAGATTGAGTTCTTATTGCTAAAGCCCAAGTGCAACACTTTTTTTCGAAAAAAGTAACTCCAAACTTTGTAGACCTAACTTCTTAAACTTTATATCTGACATTAATCGCCTTCAAACTATCCACAGTTTGATATGAGCTGATTGGCTATTCATCAAGGGAAATATGTCAATGATCTTTCAAGTAACAAAAGAGGATAAGAGCACTGTTCAAGGTGTGGCCTGGGTCAGAGAGGAGCCCAATGTGCTAGATAGTCATAAACTCAGGTAGTACGTCATATAAACACACACTATATCCTTAAGTTGTAGTGTGCGCCCTAAGAGCACGGACCCGTATCACGTCTATTGGGTGAAGAGCGTAAGCCTAATACGAAATGTGTTCAAATCATACATACATCAGTTAAATGGATGGCGATGTGATGTAGATGTGCTTCCTGAGGGAAAAATGTGGTAATTAATGACAGTGAATAGGAATGTCCAAAGGGTTACAATTAGAGCTCTCCGGTATGAATATTTCTGCTCCAAAGCATCTACCCGAGACTGCCGGCAAAGACGAATTCTTCAGCTTCCAGTGGTGCCGGTGTAATCGCTCAGTATGCTCTGCATATCTGGGATAGCCAAGAAGAATCACATCCGAATCGAAGTCGAAAGCAAACACATGCATATCTCCATTTGACGACTTCTCAACCATGCAGCACTCACCATTATCTTCTGAGTCCTCAACCCCGATATAAACACATATCATCTCGCCTCGCCGACCGATAAAGGCGCCACCCCAATTGCAAACAGGAGCTTGCCTCATTCATCGCCGGCCATTACTCACTACAAATTTACGACGCTATTAATACCCGCATGGAGGAAATCAAGTCGAAAAATACAAAGCCTGGGTCACGGCTTGTGGGAGACTGTTGCTCTAATGGGACAAACAACTTGAGGAAGGACAGGCGGCTGAGATGTGGAGCGAGAGGGGGGAATAGGTCTCTGAAGAGCATGCTGGACCGATATTTTCGAGGAGTTTTCAACTTTGGATTTTTTGTGGGCGCCAAGACCGAGATTTCGGCTAATTAGTCAGGAGCGCTTCAATTGTCGATGAGTCAGCGGAACTCCTCAGCGCCCTGGACGGCACAAAAGAAGTTGGGCTAAGCTACTATACAGCAATCACGCTCTGTCAAGACTTATCTGACATTTCAGCACGACCTTCGGGAAGGAGTTGGAAGGAGGCTAGAAAGGCAGAGGGTGAATTCTTCGAGGTATCCATAACTCTGCAGCGCCCAGCTGGCCGGACTCTTCGAAAGATTCAGAATGGTCACCATGTCTTCGGATTTATTCCTAATGTCGGTATTAGAAGAGCCCCGCACCCAGTGGTTCTCGCGATTTCTCCCGGCTGCCATACACCCGCAAATGGTCATCGTTTCCTTGGCTAGAGAGGGGAGATAATGAAGGGTAAGGGGCTCCTCAAAGTGTATGATCGAATGAGGACTTGTGAGGGGTGGTGCTGTCTGAGGGGAGTTGTATGTGTAGCATAGGAGGGGATATACTACTGGTATAGGTATCCTTGACCTGTAGGCAGAGAGGACTTGCATGTCCTACATAGTCATAAGCTCAGACAGGACAATAAAATGAAATGAAAATCATGTGCCCGAGAATGCAGTGCTGAAAAATCTTCCATCGCGGAAATAATTCTGTTTCCCGCCCACTCGTCCCGGTACTGCTGATACAGCGTTTCAGCTCCTCCCTCGGGTGGGCTCGAACCACCAACCTCTCGATGTAGAAGTATGATAACAGTCGAACGCGCTAGCCAATTGCGCCACGAGGGATTGGTATGCCACGTCTAATGACAGTTTATTTTAGTACAATCATATGATATCTGATCATACCAGTATTTCAGATTTCGATAAAATAATATATACCATCCTTTCCCAGAACAGTGATCCAACACAATTGCAGAGACATGTTGGGACCAAGTTGCTGTAGCAGTCACAGACGAAAAATCGAAAAGCTGTTTGAAAAGTGCGATTCTAGTCGCTAAACCCTTGCGAGATACCACTTGTGAGGCCACTAGATGTCACGGATCAAGGAATAGGTGCTGGAGCAACTATGCGGTCGATAGTATGTAAATTATCATTCTGAAGAGATAACAACTTCGCCCTCTATCTATAAATTAATATTCATTATCTCTGTGTTTACGGGGCACAATGTAATAGTCGTAGCCTGTAGATATCTAGGCGCTCGTCTCTTCCCAATGATGCACTCTAATTGGTCTAAACTCGGCATAAAGTTAATCCGGTAATCCGTACTCTTTGTAATTTCTATGTAGCAATGTTAGTCCCCTCTCTTTAGATTATATAAAACTTATAATTCACCACAAGCAGTACGCCTCCCCTGACACACAGCCCCTCCACGTCTTGGATCCAATAGGATTCTTCATATTTGTTATCCCTGATTGTTGTAACACCTCAATGTGTTGTAGGCGACAGTCTCTTAAGGATGGCAAAGGTACAATTGTCAAAATGACTGGGGCTAGTTCCCTGTGC